GCGTTGGCAGCATGCCCTCATGGTGTTCGCTAGCTGACGACTGTGGTTGACATTAGAGACGCCAGTCTTCCCAGGCCAACGCCCTGTGACTAGCGTGAGTCTGACTAATGCAAGATGCTTGGAAGAAGGTTGGGTGCATGTTTAGGTGGGAGCCTGCAGCGGTCTTTGCATGGCTACTGCACAGGCCGCCACTCCTGCGTCCTGGTCACCTTCACTCCATCACGTCTCCTGCTATGCCCTTCTGCATCTGTGGCTTTTCTCTTTGAACCAGTGGGGAGGTTGCCCGTTGGTATACAGGGTTCTGCATACGCTCACACGCTGTATTCTCAGACTTTCTTCTCCGACAATTTTTCACCAACAAAGCTTGTATTCGCCGTGTCGGCATCGTCCTCCTCGTATTTGAATATGCACCTTCATTACATTCGTGCACTTTTCAAAATTCGTCACACAGTGTTTTCTGGAGTTGCAACAGGTTGTGTCTCAAGCATTGGCTGTGGATTTCACCACGTCTGCTAATTTTGTAGACTTGCTGCTGTGACACAATTTCATTACTACTCTAGATTTTCTCCCTGCGATGAATTCTACTTCGATTCCTACATTCACAGCCACGCTGCGGTGGTCTAGTGGCTAAGGTATTCGGCTGCTGACCCGCAGGTCGCGGGATCTAATCCCAGGTGCGGCGGCTGCATTTTCAATGGAGGCGAAAATGCTGTAGGCCCGTGTGTTCAGATTTGGGCGCATGTTAAAGAACCCCAGGTGGTAAAAATATCTGGAGCCCTCCACTGCGGCGTCTCTCATAATCATATGGTGGTTTCGGGACATTAAACCCCACATATAAATCAATCATTGATTCATACATTCACATTACAGAAAGTAAGATAAGTGAGTTTATTCAGGAGGGGGGGGGGGGGGGCAGGTATGTGGGTAACTTAGCCATTATGTTATGACTATGTTCTCTCTGGGGGGCCAACAGAACGCAGATTTTTATTTCTAGTTTTCAACGGGGTGGGGGTTCTAGCTCCCCTGTGCCCACCCATGGCACCGCCCCTATAAATAACAATGGTTCCTCTCTTGTGCAAGTTGCTAATGGGCTGGCCACTTTTACACTATTTCTGTGCCAGCACTTCTGCACCTATGCGATGCTGTGACTTGGTGAACATCCAGTGCACCATTAGGAACATGTCTGCTGATCTACAGGCTGCTGGTGCCATCTCTTCTTTTTCTATTTTTCTTTTCACATGCGATTTCTTTCGACTGGCCCTTGTATATGCCCAAGATATCCATAGCAGTTCCTTTCATTAGGAGCTGCTGCTGCGACAGTGGCATTTGTAGCATGTGCTTCCTGACCTATGTGTTAAGGGTGCAGACGATGCATTAATGCTGCCGTCAAAGCCAAAATTGTTTAACTCAGAGACCTCAGAATTGCCTGAAAAGAAAGTAAATGCATGCATTTTTATTTTTTTATCGTCAAGGCCTCACACCACCACAGACACACTTGAAATAGCTCAAATGACCTGCTTGTGTATTTGTTAGGAGTATTAGGACTCGTGACAGGTCAACAGGTGTTTCCATACATAGTCACATATACATATAATGTCCCTACGCGTAGGGTGCTTCCCATTCTTAGCTATGCTTTGCTGCAAGATTGCATGTATGCTTGGCTGCATAACGCCTTTGAATTGAGGTGAAGCAGAGTTTCGGAGTGGCTATTGCAATTAACAAATTGGTGCTCAAAAACGCTTGTTCAAGGCTATGACAGTCAACATGATGGTAGTGGTGGATTTTGTTAACACCAGTTTGTACAAGCTGCCCACCTCACTGTATCCGACAACATCCTTTACTGCAGAAATTCTATGCCTGATGGTCGCAAATGGCTGCTCGTGATACCACGACACATGTGTTCTCACATCTGCGCTTCCTTCCATGCTGCTCCTCACCATAATCACGGTGGCATACTGAAAACTTATACTCGGCTCAGGCAATGTTTCTACTGGCATGGAATGTATCACTTTGTCTGCCAGTACATTCGCTCTTGCACGGTGTGCCAGCGGTGTAAAGTTCATCAGCACCCTTCTGGCGAGTTGCAGCCAGTTCCCTGCCCTGCTCGTCCCTTTCATCGCGTTGGCATAGACCTATATGGCCCACTTCCCTGCAGTTCCTTGGCTAACAGATGAATCATTGTCCTGCCGTTCCTTGGCTAACCGATGAATCATTTGTCGGCGTCGATCATCTGACACGCTATGCTGAGGTTGCAGCGCTTCCAGCCACCACCGCTCATGATGTTGCATTTTTTTTTTCTGCAGAATTTCGTTCTTCGACATGAAGACCCAAATGAACTGCTCAGTGACAGAGGGCGGGTGTTCTTCTCCGACGTCATCCTAGCCTTTCTCGCTGCATGCCATATCATTCATCTCAAGTCTACTGCATACCACCCGTAAACAAACAGCTTGACAGTGAGGCTCAAGTGCACGCTCGGTGACATGATAACTATATATGTCGCATCAGATCACAGCAACTGGGACACTGTTTTACCATTTGTCACATACGCATGCAACATTGCTACTCAAGGTACCACTGGTATTTTTGCTCCTTTTCCTGTTGGTACGGGCGAGAGCCCTCTTGTGCCATGGACACCCTGCTTCTATGCTGACCGGACACTTCGGAATGCACGCCGGTGTCTGAAGGGGCGAGATGTGCGGAGGACTATAGGCAGCTGGCTCGTAAACTTACAACTGCCACTCAAGGTCGCAAAAAACTGCGACATTACAGTGATGCAATTTCACCAGACTTTCTGATTGCTTCTCTAGTTTGGTTATAGATATCATATGCCTCACCGTTCTCGCCCTACAAACACTTTTCTTGCATGCTATGATGGCCCCTACCGCATCATAGAACGCACATCCCCTGTCAACTGCATAGTTGAGCCCATGGCCCCGTCCTGTCACCTCAAACATTGCGTTCGTGAGACGGTTCACGTCAGCAGACTTTGATGCTGCCCACGCCTTGAGCCACCAGGAAGGCTCGTCTTCTCTCTCGGGGGCAATTGCAGTGAAGAGGAGAAAGGGGCGTCAGTTGCTGTGTGCGAGATCTTTGTTCGTGTTGGACCGGTGCTATCCTGACTGCAAAGTCTTAACTGTTAGCTGAAGTAATCGTTAATACAATAATAATATAAGTCTTATCAATTTTATGGTCATTGCCTCCTTTACTTTTCATTGCCAGCCAGATGTGCCCAATCCGACTGTTTACCACCCTTTCCTCTAGTCCTTTCCTACTCTCTCGCTGTTGGCTAGCCTTTATATCTGCTTTGCATTCATGGGGGATAGTACCCTTTAGGTCGTTCCTCAGGACTGGATTCAGACGAGGTAATTTTTGTTCGGTTGTGTTCAGATCGGTCGGCATGTGATATCTCTCATGGTCACTATGTTGGCTATTACACTAGCTTTAAGAAACCTTGTGTTCTGAGATGGCACATCTCCATTACGAGAGGCTGCAAGGGTACCAATGGGGGTACGTCGACACAGAGCTGCTGCATGCATTATCATTAAGATGTGCCACACCAGCGTTGCGAGGTGGCAGTGGCATTGCTTTGAGCCACAAAGGAAGGAGCTCAAAGGAACAAATTTGAAGGAGGCACGATATTGGAGAGGCACAGCATGTTGATTGTATCTTCATTGGAACGTGCTCAGACGCACGTGCGACAGAAGCAGTCGTGCCTTCTAGGTGGCGTCGCACCATGACCACTTCCTGAACTAAGGCACACTGCGGGTTCTGCACGTAAAAGCGAGCGCTTGCAGTGGCATTGAATAAATATTGAGCAGGCATTGGTATGGCAAACCATTTTTTTAGTAACCCTTATATATTGACATTGTGGATATGTGGTGGTGCATGCATAGTGGAGGGGTGAAACGTATTGGGCCTCGTGACAGCTAATAGCCCCCTTCTCAATTTTGGAAAGCTTTTTCGTTTGATACCAATGTACTGTGGCAAAAGTAACTTGGAAAAAAAAAAAATCAAGACCTGACCATATCTTATATGTTCTTTTCCTCCTCAGTCAGCATACGATTGTAGGTACACGCAGATTGGCTAGTTTATTCGTTTTGCAGGCAGGCAATTTGCTTTATTTGTGGCTATAAAAATGTGAATGCTCAGTTAGCAGCATCAAAAGCAGCTAGTATTTCCAGGCATGGATACACAAAAAAAAGTTTAGTCAGCCAAATTTGTGCACTTAGCAGTTTGAAATAAATGGCTTTCAAAATACATTGAAAACATAATAGGGCAACCAAAAATTTCAAATTTGTTTGAATCAACAGAAGTACAAATTGTCAGAATTCAAATTGTTGACAGTCTACTTCAACAGTTTTATGGATGTTTCTGTTGCGGGACGCCCCACCGCGGTGGTTTAGTGGCTAAGGTACTCGGCTGCTGACCCGCAGGTCGGGGGATTGAATCCCGGCTGCGGTGGCTGCATTTCCGATGAAGGCAGAAATGTTGTAGGCCCGGGTGCTCAGATTTGGGTGCACGTTAAACAACCCCAGGTGGTCGAAATTTCTGGAGCCCTCCACTACGGCGTCTCTCATAATCATATGGTGGTTTTGGGACGTTAAGCCCCACATATCAATCAATCATCTGTTGCGGGACCAGCCTTTGTTGGATGCAGCATGCTTCCACTCTGGCAAAGACAGGTCCTGAAGTAGGAATTGTTCATTGAAATTTCTTTCTTTTTCTTTTTTTTTTTTGCGGGCCTATATCCTTTGAAACGTTTTGCTGGTGTATCACCTGACTAATGTTATTGCTTCTTTTTAGTCTTTTACTTATATTCATTTAATATTGTGCAAAAATATTTTTTGTTATATTGCTTTTTCACAGATTACAGTAGTTTTGCCCTTTCCTACGAAAATCCTGATCGAATTAGCTGAGAGCATAAAATAAAAATAAAAAAGAAGTGAACAGAGATAAACTAATGGGATTGATAATGTGCCCTTCTTATTTTTGTCTTTCAGCTGACTCTATGATCAATAAATTCCTGAATGCTACTTCAGCTATGAACCCTGATCAAAGGGGATCCTACTTGGAGGCAGTGCACGGTAGGCGCTCACTTTATTCAGTAAGCTTTCAGATGACAGGACAGTCATGACTATGCAGTTGTGAAGGCCTGCAGTGAAAATCAAACTACTGCTCGTTGCAGCTCTGACACCGGTCTCTGTTGACACAATTATAAATAGTACCCACGCAGTTGGCCTGCGATCAGTAAATATAAAACCAGAACAAGTTTGACGTAGCTGCTGACGCATTGTTGGCCCTGCAATGCAATATGATAAGACTGTGAATGGCGCCTACGCCTTCTGAAAGCCCATGGCCATTTTGATTGTTTGCAAACGGTGTTTTTCGCACCTTTGAATCCCACATTTGCAGCATTTCATGCTTCGCAGGCTCAATCGAATTTACCAGGATGCCAAATAAGACCAAATTAATGAAAGTTTCATGTCATTGAACAGTACACATGCTGGCCAGGACCAGAAAGCACGCCCGGCAGATAAGACTTTTCGAATGAACGGGTGTCATATTACTAGGGCTTTTACTGTAATACATAATATGGGTAACTGACGGTCACTGATACCGAAGGAATGATATCAAGTGATGGGAAACAGAGTCGAGGGTGGCAGAGAGTTAGGTGGGGTGAAGAAGTCAACAAGTTCGGAGGAATGAAATGGAATTGTTTGCACATGGTGTAAATTGAAGATAATTGGATCAGATGTGTGCTGTTGGACTTGGATATAGTATCAAGCTATTCGTTCTACCTAATGGCTGTAGCATCTGATGCGAGGTTTTATGCATACAGTTCTGTGGAAGGCCTGTATCAGCGGTTGTCCAACTGTGCCAGTTGCGACATTTTGCTACAATTTCATATCTCTGTTCCTCGTTGCACACATTCGAGTACAGCTTGTGTCAACTGCACCAAACTTCCTTAGTCGACCTGTTAACACTGCATCGGACCATTTAAGGCCCAGAAATATTCTTGGTGGCAACAAACACTACTAGAACTTTTCCATATTGCCCCCGATGCCTCTCGATCCATTCCAGCTATGCACTTTTTTTCATTATATTCAGCCCAACAGCAGTTTTTCTGCTGCCATGTCTACCTTCGTTGTTGAAAGTTAAGCATGCTGTTGATGGGCTCTTTTATTTGTTTGGAAACTGGCGATAACACGTAGAAGAAGGATTCTTATATTTCATGAGTCATTCCACATAGTATCCTAATAAGATCAATCCCTGCAAATCGCTCCTTGATAGGTGAAAAATTCATGAACACAGGGTGTCACTAAAGATGTTTCGATAAGCAGACTTATCTTCTTCAAGGCTGCCTTTTAAGAAGAGCATCCCTACCCTTTATACTTATGTTGAACATCAATTCAAGCTTGGTGTCAGTTCATTTTGTACCAGTTTCATTTCTCACAAGACTTTTTTCTTAATAATTGGAAAGTTGGTAGGGCTCAGCTAAATGTGCTTGACAGTAAACGAGAATACCATTCGGTGCCCTCACCTCTAAAAAGTATTGAGTACGGTAGAACTGATTCATAGTGAGTTGCGGCGATTATTGAATTCACTATCTACACAGGCAATTTAAAACAGCATGATCGAATCCGCAATGTTTTTTGCCTTCTTGCTTCAATTGGTAGACTGCTGGTTTTCTGGATAGGATTTTTTTTTCTTTTTGGATTGACATTATGACGCCTCTCATTCGAAGAAACCTTATGTGCACGCTTTTCTTTTTTCGAGCAAAGTAGCGCTCTTCACCAATGCACAGCGTAGTGAAGTTATAAGAGCAGTAGTTGTTTACTCATGAAGCCTGCACGAATGCGCACGCTCCGTTTAAAGCAATTTGAAAAAAAGCTGCAGTGCATGACGTGCCTCTGAACTTTGTGTATAAAAATTGTTCACACAGTATGTGAAGGGGATATATTGACTGACCCTTGATGTTTGTGAGCTCTCGAATGCACAAGTGTAACTTAAGTAGCTAGAAGGTTGTTTAATAATGAACATCGTCTTTCAGGACATTGCCAACCTTCATGCTGAGTGTGCTAAAGGAGGACAGACTCAGGTTAGTAGAGGACCACTTTTAAATGTCGATTCAGTTCACGGAAATCGCCCCAATATGAGGGCACACATCAAGATGCAAGTAAGCATGAGCATATCATACAGTTGCTGCAATGTCATGCTTGTATTTAAAACAATAACCAGGTTGTGAAAAAAAAAACTGTTTTGAAAACTTTGTTTTTTTCAGGCACCAGGTGCTGATGAAAATGTAGACCTGCACTTCGTCTGCTTTGCAAATGTTGATGGCCATGTCTATGACTTGGGTGAGAAGTCACGTTGATATTAGTAAAAACTGTCGTATTCACATTGATATTAGTAAATATTGTGGTAAGCGCCACGCGACTGTTTAGCACTGAGCAACCAGTGGGGACCTTTTGCCAATCGCCGTCATTGCACGTGCATTGGTGCCGTCATGCTGTGACGTTGTTGAGAAGAGGTCTATTGCTAGGTCAAGTGGAAGTTTTTCCAGCCGAGTGCATTCACGCAAAATGTGTCGCAGCATCCGAACACATTATAGCCTTTGGTTTTAGTGCTCACCGCTAAGTGTCCGAATAGCAGGTTTATCCGAGAAACTGTCTTTTGACTGACAGTCATCCTTCTATTGTTTTCACTTAGTATTTTTGTACTGCTGTGGAACTAAAAACTGAAACTAAACGATGAGTGTTTTGCTTCTAGCATTGGGTGTTTCGTTTTACACCCCATAGTTTGCACTGGCAACATTAGCGGTTGGAGAGGTGACATAGGTTTTATGACTTACGCGTCATTACGACTTTGGTGTTGTCGTTCCATCTTTAGTTGAGATTTTATTGACAAACAAGTAATATAAATATTTTTTTTCTTTTTGTTGTCGAACAAATATTGGGGAAATTCTCAAAGTAATCAGCAACCTTTAAAGCCAGTGGTGAATAAAGAACGCAAAAGAAGTTCCAACCACTAAAAGTGGCCTTCATGCTCTCCATACATGCACAGCCTGATACAAAAATAAAGATTTTCCTTCACAAACATTGAGAGCACAGCTCAGCCTCAATAGTCAGTTAAATACTTTATGCTGCAGTGGGGCTTGTGTATCCAAGTAAAGCAGTGACATGCGATGATGGAAAAAATGTGCTGTCAGTAAGTGCACTCGTGTCGCACATAAGCATTTAAGTCATTAGGGAAAAGAATTTGACAGCACTGTGTGGATAGCACAAGAATTATGTACTTAGTAGATCAGGTGTGCCTTCTTAGTGTCAATTTTTTTGTGTAGATGGACGCAAGCCATTTCCATTCAACTGTGGCGCTACAAGTGTGCATTCTTTCTTGAAGGTGAGTGATTGTTCTGTCACCATTCTTTACAGTGATTTCATTCCTCCGCCAACTGCCCCAATGTTCACCAAATTGTGTTTTCTATGTCATCCTGATAAAATCAACATAAATAGCATCAAACTCTGTCAGAGTCTTGGCTTGGCATTGTTGGTATAATTCGTGAAAATGCCGCTTGCAGCTTGAATAACGTTCAGCTTGATAACGGTGCCTTTGAAGTCACAACCATGGACCGATAAGTGTTCCTCAGAAGAAAACGCGCTTGCACGTGCATCTTGGTTTAAAGGGCCAGTAAACAGCCCCGAGGTCCAAAAAAAATTTTAAAAAGAGATATATGTGCAGTTCTTTGCAAACATGCTGCCGTAAGAATTTCGCAAATACGGGCTATATTAAGGAAGTTACAGGGGTTAGAACATCAGTCTAAGCTGATTTCAAAGTTTCGCGCGGCCTCGCCCCCCTTCTCCATTCCATGAAGGGGAAGGCGTAGCCCATCGTCGTGACTCCGCCCACTTTGGCAACGTGACACCGCGTGAGCGATTGACGTCATGGGCGAACTCGATCAGTCTCAACGCTCTTCTGCTTGCTGCGAAGCGTGCTTGTTTGTTTACCGTTCGCCGCACCAGCCGCGGGTCAACTGTGTAAGCGTCAGGTGCGAAGTGTTGACCACAAACGATCAGGTCCCCAACGTACGTCGCTGTATGGCCGATTCGCTTCAGCCATGCAGCGCGCAGGGCCCTATCATGAGGCACCCGGTGCTGATGCTTCTTTGCTGCCCAATCGCTCAATTTGCAGCCGACAACAGAGCAACGCTTTTTACCCGTTTTGCTCATTTCAAGGGCGAAGTACGTTCGTATGTGCGCACGGGCGCTGTAGTTGAGCTAGGAGTGTACACGTGCACACGACAACTGGGAGGCTGGTTCTTTTACCGCAGTGCCAAGAAACAAGGGGCAGTTTCGTAGCTGTGGGTGGGAACAAGAACTGACGTTGGCTTCACTACTGTTTTTTCACACCTGATTTAGACCAATCGGCGAGCTGCGTGCTACGTCACGTCGCCGATCGCAGAGTTGACGTCACTGCGCATGCAAGGGGGTCAGCCAGGCGTAGGAAAGATACACCGGAATCGTTTTTCAAAGTAGAGTCTCTGCGAGGTGCGCAGCGCTGTAATATTCAGGGAATGTGATCGCTGCGGTCTAATCTACGAATTGCTGAGCTTGTATGGGGGGTGTAACAAAAAAAGTCCGAGTCTGTTTACTGGCCCTTTAAGGGGAGACGCGGGTCGAAAAGTCGCGTTTTTTTCCAAATTTCACCTTTTCTGTTTTTTGTTGCTTTATCATCTTTATACATTATATTTTGACATCTGAAAATATCACAGCGAAATAAGCATCAGAAGTCAGTGAAAAACGCGTCTGAGTGAGCGGCAGTGACGCGCGGCATCACGAAATTTACACAAAACGGGCTGCTGTTCGCGTGCTCGCGGGGCCGCGAAGAGAGCTGTCCGCCATATTGCGGCTGCTGGCTCGTGTAGAGTTGTCCTTACTCTCCACGATCCCGGTTCTTGAAGTCTCGTACGTTCACGAAAAATCTAAAAAAAAAGCAACAAAAACAGTCTTTTCCCGCCGTTTCAAACCGCGCGCCACTAACGCAGGGCCGCCATTGGCTGACAGCACCCGTGTTTTCTTGCCGTAGTTCGCTTCACTGTTTTCCGGAGTTATTTTTCGCTGTTTTCGTGCGATGGCAAGCCCGAAAAAGGCCGTTGCCGACCATCGGAAATACAGAAGTAAGAACAAGTTCAGAGGGAAGCGGCGGAGGACGTACAAGAAAGCCACCGCCAACGAAAATGTCCGCGACGGGCCAGCGGCCGGTAGGCCTAACATCGACCACGGCAACGTCGACCATGGCAACTGCGACGACGAGATCAACGCTGCAGTGAATTTTGTGAGTGCATCGCAGAAAAAGATCGCGTTATTCGAAAACGACGTCAGGCCGAATGCCGATCGTGCCGAAAGCGTAGTGCTGTGCGAGTTGGGTGCATTGACGGCCGTCGTCGCAGGCGCGGCATGCCCCGTTTGTCACGAGAGTAAACTCGCAGTTCGGGCACCGAATAAAAAGCGGAAAGGCCTTTCGGCGTTTCTGGAGCTACACTGCGAGAATGCGGAGTGCTCGGAGAGCATCCTTTCGTCCGCGTACTCGTCGAAGCGGGTCGCGTCAGATGGCGGCCGCGGTGCAAGCAGAAGCTACGACAGCGGGAGTTCGCGTGACGCCTTTGCCGTGAACCTGAAAGTGGTGCTTGCAGCGCGTGCCGTCGGTATCGGGCATGAGCAACTTTCACGATTTTGTGCAGTAGTTGGATTGCCAAACCCTATGCACCATAAGACCTTCCATGCTATCGGCAAAAAGATTCACAGTGCGGCAGTGAAGGCTGTCTGTGAAAACATGCAAAGGGCACGCAGCGTCACCAAAGAGGTGGCTGGTAACAGTGACGTGCCAGTCATGTTTGACGGCACATGGCAAAAAAGAGGCCACAAAAGCCACAATGGTGTGGGAACTGTAGTGTCCTTGGACACTGGTTTGTGCCTGGACTATGAAGTGCTTTCCAACTTCTGCCTGGCGTGCAGTTTGCATAACGACATGGGAGGCGATGAAGAAACATGGCAGGCGTTTCATCATCCCGTTTGTGAGAAGAATTGCGACTGTTCTTCGCATGCCATGGAGGCCGAAGCTGCAGTGCGCATTTGGCAGAGGACTGTGGACTATGAGACACCCCTGCGGTTCACCATCTTCCTAAGCGATGGAGACAGCAAGGCCTACAACGGGGTCTGTGATGCCAACGTGTACCCTGACACTCCAATTGAAAAAGAGGAGCGCACCAACCACGTGGCGAAACGTCTGGGCACCGGCCTGCGGAAGCTGCCAACGCCACTTCCACGAGGGGAGAAGCTGAAGGAGACCACCATCCAGAAGCTTCAAACTTACTTTCAGGTGGCCATTGTGAACAATCGGGGAAATGTCCACAAGATGTACACTGCCATATGGGCCTCATGTTTGCACTCGTGCTCAACAGACGGTGCTGGAAGTCACAAGTTCTGTCCTGCAGGCCCAGACTCGTGGTGCAAGCACCGACGTGCTGAGGCGCAGGGCCAGCCTGCACCGTGCCACACCCCCCTCCTGACCAAGGCCCAGGGTTTGGCAGTCCTCCCAATCTACAAGCGTCTCACAGATGCGAAGCTGCTTGCCCGGTGCCTCCACGGCAAGACACAGAACGCGGCCGAGTCCCTGAACAGCAAAATATGGCTGCTGTGTCCAAAGACCCGGTTTGCTTCCCGGACTGCTGTGGAAACAGCCACAGCCATTGCAGTCCTGTGGTTCAACCGGGGCCACGCGAGCTTTGAAAAGGTGCTGGAAGAGCTTGGGGTGCTTCCTTCGGAGGCCCTGGTTACCCTCAGCGACCGCCGAGACAGCATGCGCATGCACAAGATGAATGTGCGTCAGACCGCTGAGGCGAGGGCACACCGTCGCAGTGCAGCCAAGAGGGCCCGGGTGGAAGAGTCCTGCCGCACCAGCCGGGAAGGGAAAACCTACGGTGCTGGAGAGTTTTAGACAACTGATATTCCCTCTGGACATGTGTGTATGTGTTCAGCACAAGTTTCGTGCTACTGCGTTTTTCATTTTTGTAAATACAGACTTTCAAACTTTCAAACGCGTTTTTCTCATTTCGCAATTTTGGCCAATTTGCATTTTTTGCGGGAAGTGTTTCGGGCACTTAGAATGGTCATACGACGACGAAATTTGGCACACACATTGAGGAGAGTGCGTAGGGTGCCGATATCTACTTGAATCAGCACAACCTATCAGCTGTAAATATCTATTAATAAATTTAATGGTGGTCGAGTGGAAAAAAAAGGGTAGTTTGCTACACAGATGTTTTTTTTATAGTTTCAAAGTTGGAGCTCAATTTCTAGCTAGATATCGGCACTCTATGGCTAATAGGGAGCAAAAGGAGCCATTGAACAACTCTCTGCATGAACATTTAGTATGCGCGAAAGTTCCCGGAAAACTTATCAAGTTTCACCATTACTTGAAACACAACTCCCAAACTATTGCACTTATGTAAAAACTGATTACAGATTTGGAATCAGGAGGAAAAACTGCATCAGTGGTCCAATTTCTGAAGCTCTAAGTTGAATAACAAAAAAAAAGTGCTTTCGAGGAGCGTCTCCCCTTAACCCTTTCAGACGCCACAAATTAAGAACTGTCTGTAAATGCGTCAAATTGTCACAGCATGGTTTTAAAACCCTCAATATTCTATTTTAACAACAATCATTCTATAATAGATTAATTTTTGCATTTTATAGCAATTAATCGAAAATTAGGTTTTAACAAATATCTACTGATTCTGAAGACATTCATTTTTAGTTCTTGCATATATGTAGTCAAATCTCAGAGTAAAAATATAGCGCAAACTGGTTTCCGGTTTTGTTGATATTTAGAAAAGAAAAGATATATATCTTTTTTGACGTGGCTCCAGGGACCCGCCACGTCGAATGACTCGTCGACCATGGTATGCCTTCGGAAAAGCGATTATGTGGAACAGTACGGCAAAAACTGAAGTTGAATGAAAGCACGTCTATTAGGCAGGAGGTTCATTTCATCTAAACCTCCTTGTATCTTGAACTTTTACACCCCCTAGTCGACACAATTAGCAAGAACAAATGATGTACACCATTGTGCACAAAGTGTCTGAAAGGGTTAAGACATGATGCTACGGGGGGGCCAACGCAGCTTCTGTTCAGTAAAACAGCTTGACAACAAAACACGATTGCCGTTGTGTTGACTATTCATCGGCTGACGTCTCGTCTAGAAATGCAGCTGGTAGCTAGCTCATTTCGAGCCTTCCTTGCCATGAAACTAAAGCAATGTTCAGTAATAAGGATTCATGTGGGCTGGATACATACTAGAATTTGTCTATCACTTCTATTTCTGGACAATTTGGAGTGAAATCTGGC